CTCTTGTTTCTCTAGTTGTTTATCTTTTAATTTTTTATAAATTATCTGAAATAATAACCTATCTTATAAATAAGTAATATGATGTTTTTGATCATTTCGCTTTATTATTTATTACAGTATTAAGCATGTAACTTATGTGAAGTTGTTTATGTAAGTTATATGCTTAATACAAACTAAAATACAACATACAGCATTGTGAAGTTCCTCTGAAATGAGATAGCCTTCTAGTTAAAAAATATTTTCCTCTTGATATAGTCCATGAATTTAATAATTCCTAATACTTTGTATTAAGCAAGACCTACCTTTGAATCATATTTTGAATATTTCCAATGTTAATTTGATTGGATTTGATGATGGCAAATACATATTTAGCATAAAAAGTCTTAATATATATTTATTTCATTTTGGATCCAAAGGCCTACTGATTTTCTTCAAAGGTATAGAAAGGCAAATGAAATTTTCTATTTATTCATAATGAGAGGTTAAAATAATAAGCAGAGTATGAATAATGACAAAGATTATATTATAACTTCAATACTTTTAATAGTTAGATTTAACAGTTATTTTGGCTGAGTGTAATTTTAGTGTATCTCACTTTGAAATAATATAATCTATAGCCTATACTTTTCATTTATGGCTTACAAACTAAAAAAAATGTATTTTGTTTAGATTGAAAGAAGAAAAATTTGAAAATTCTAACATTTCATTTGTTTTTTCTACAAGTCATCCATAAAAGACCCAGTGAGAATGAAGACTATGACGTCATCTTTACTGGGCCTTTCATGTTTATGAAAGGCACAATGAATAGTGCAGTGTATCTTGATATGTTACACATCAGTTGTAACATATCAGTTGTAACATATCAGTTGTAACATTAGTTGATATGTTACAACTGATGATATGTTAGAGATACAGTTGATTGCAGGTGGCATTTTTGATACCATTGTGTTTTAAAAGGACAGTGCCCCATCCCAGTTTGATAGCATTGTACTGTACATGATTATCTTAATGTGACATTTCCTGGTAGGTGAATTGGGAGGAGCTCAGCTAGGTTATGGGCTCCTCATTCACTAGACTTGACACCCCTGGACTTTTTTTGCTTAGAGGCTACATCAAGTCACAGGTGTTCAAGGCAAAGATTAATAATATTCAGGGTCTGATGAATTACATTACAGCTGCTGTGAACCTATTGCATCTGATACGTCACAAAGGGTTTTTATATCAACTGTGACGAGATTGTAGCTTTATAAATTGCCTTACAGTCCTTACTTCTAATTTTATTTTTAATTATTAAATATTTAATCTCAAATATTATCTAACATGGTATATCAATACTTTTTTAATAGGCAACTACCATTGTACTCAGGGAACTCTTGGCATGCAGAATTATGGCTCACCAAATCAGAACAGTACTTATGGTGGAAATGTTAGTGGATATTCTGTAGTAGGTAGAATGAGTGGACAAACATCTGTGACTGGTACACAGGGTTACAATGCTGGTCCTGGTACAACTAGCAGTTATATGAATTCTCAGTATGGAAGCACTGGCCCTCCTTCTAGTACAGGTTATGGGATGAATAATATGATGCCTCCTCCAGCACAGTATCCTAAGGGAAGTACTGGTCCACCAGGTGCTGCACAAGCAGCAGCCCAGGCTGCAGTAATAGCAGCTGCAAGTTCTGCTACTATGAGATCTCCAGTATATTTAAGACAGCATTTACAGCAAAAAATGTATGGTGGTAATTATGGCAATATGCAATCTCAAGCAGGCACTCAAGGATTTATAGCAGGAGGTGCAATGACTGGAGCTGCAGGTCCTCCCACAGTTATGCCAGAATCATCTCCAATGCCTCCACCAGCAGCAAGTACGCCATCTGCACAACCGTTAAGTCAAATTTCTGCCATGCCTCCCACTTCAATGGGACTTGGTAATGTCTCTAATTGTGACAATGCATCAAACTCAGCATCAGTTGGGGCACAAGGATTCACACAAACTTCTGCTCCTTCCACAGGTATTAGTTGCTATTTTTATATATGATACTTCATCATAATATTCAGGTTGCTGTGTTTAAAAATTGGAATGTGCTTTTAAATCATTTTACTTTTAATTAAATATGAAAACATTAAGCTGGCAATAATGATTTAAAAAAGTAACTAAATTAGTATATAATAAAAGAACTTTTTGCATTTGAATATTTGTTTAATATTAATAATTGTAAATGTTGATTTTCATAATTATCTAATTGAAGAAGATCAGAAATA